GCACAGCGATAGAAAAATAAAAAAACTTTACCGAACAGCTCCACTTACTTGCCATCGTCTCAATCGTTTTAAAATTTAAGTTTGACTTATTTCTGGTAACAAGCTGTTCTATAATTCATATCGTTAATCACAGAATGGAACCGCTAAGTCTTCCGGCTGGTTTAATTTTGTAATTTTTGTGTGGAGGTTTCCGTTTTAATCATCATGAAAATCAAATGGGTTCCATTTTCTTCGATAGATATGCAACTATAATTCAGTCATTCAGAAAGTTTTTATTTATTTACGAACCTTTTATCTTCTTGTACAAGAATAATTAACAGAACATTGCCGTTGGGTTAACTTGTAATCTAAGTTATGCAGTGTCTTTTTCAGTGGGTTCATCAAATGGGTTCCATTTTCTTCGATAGATATGCAACTATAATTCAGTCATTCAGAAAGTTTTTATTTATTTACGAACCTTTTATCTTCTTGTACAAGAATAATTAACAGAACATTGCCGTTGGGTTAACTTGTAATCTAAGTTATGCAGTGTCTTTTTCAGTGGGTTCATCCAGAATCGCGTTAACAGAGCAGTATATTATTGTTTTTGATACGTGTTTCTCCAGAATCGCGTTAACAAAGCAGTATGTTATTGTTTTTCACAGATGTTTCACCACAGTTGCGAAGAGTATTTCAATGGGTCTGTGTTACTCTGAAGGATAAATTTGTATCCTAACAAATAAAGTTGTCATAAGGGTAATACTTTGGATATCCCGGAAAATAGCTTTGCTGCCTTTTTTTATAGCTAATATGCACAGAAGTTTTGATAGAGACAAAGTCAACGAACAATAGTACTATATATATATACTGGTTTTAATATAAGATAAAACAGTGTATACAATAGCTCAATACAAATTAGTTCGTTGCAAAATTCTAACAATAATGTCGTTAGTAATTATTGACAAAATTAAACTGTTGAAAAGTTTGATAGTACATCATATATTTATTATCTTGCATTGTTTGGACAATATTTATTCTAATATTATCATGACATAAAGCATTGTAGTCATCAATGCTGCCCAACTAATGGGAATTTATTTTCCATTACTTAGCGTTATGGTCTTAATTCATCTTAATGTATTAGTTGTTAATTATTAGCATTAATTAGTTTAATTGAATTAGAATAGTTAACAGAACAGTATATTATTGTTTTTGATACGTGTTTCGATAGCTGTTTCACCAGAATCGCGTTAACAGAGCAGTATATTACTGTTTTGATACGTGTTTCTCCAGAATCGCCAAGAAACAGTGTATCTATTTTTTTATTCAACAACTATACATTTTATTGTCATTAAATATAAACAAACAATTGTATGCCTCAGTGACCTCCTTGAGAGTTTATAACTCCAAATTTCGAGATTCAATTACGAAGTTTAGCGAGCTGCTCTTTTATAATTCTCATTGTCGTTAACGTTTCTTAACATTTATTTTTAAGTTATTTTGGATTTCTTAAATCACACACGAGGAACAAAGTTATTATTAGTATATACAGAGTACTACTTTAACAGCCCTAGTTTTAGATAATAGTTTGTGTAAAGTTTCTCTCATTCAAACAGAATCACGTTAACAGAACAGTATATTACTGTTTTTTAAGCAGATTTGAATGTTTTACCAAGTTTCAGTACGACTACTTTCCGAACAAAGTCTGTAATTAGTAATAAAACATCTCAATAAGCAGATTTGAATGTTTTACCAAGTTTCAGTACGACTTGTAAGCAGATTTGAATGTTTTACCAAGTTTCAGTACGACTACTTTCCAAACAAAGTCTGTAATTAGTAATAAAACATACAAAGTCTGTAATTAGTAATAAAACATACAAAGTCTGTAATTAGTAATAAAACATACAAAGTCTGTAATTAGTAATAAAACATACAAAGTCTGTAATTAGTAATAAAACATCTCAATAAGCAGATTT